TCCAAGCTAGGCTCACCCTTCAAGCGGGTCAGTTGTCCAAAGAGATCGTCTGCGCATACACGGCTGACCTCGCACACACACACGCACGCAAAACCAAATGATTTTCGTATCTCACGGGTGTCAGTGCCGTAAAGGAAGCCAATGGATACGTCGCTCATGTCGACATCTCTGTCTAACTTTATGAAAGTGGGGAGAGGATCAGAACTGAAACATGCGCAGATAGGGTCAGAACTATCGGATTTGGAGACACACGGAACTCTGGACACTCATTTAGTTGGGGTTGTGGCCACAAAGGAGTGTCATATACTGGGAGTAAGTGGTGTGACTTACTACCTCGACGCTGAGTCCTCTACCCAGTTAACGTCAAGTTTATCTACTGGTCATCCATACCCCAATTTCTAAGGCCTGTTTATTGGATTTAATAGAGGAAAGCTGCAAATCGTCGGCATCGTTTTCTATTCCACTGGTTGTAACAGTATGATATTGAGGCTGCTTTAATTTGCTGGAAGTTTTTAACGTAAGTGTATTCGAGGATCGTGTCGTAGACCAAAACCGTAATCTTAATCTTTACTCTGAACTTACCTCGGAGGTGACTTTGCGCTAATCCTTAACTTAACCACAAACCTGTATTGCGGGGGAGTCCTGTTCCAATATTCTATTCAGGACGGGAGAGAGAAGGGGGTATAAGTTAAATAACCTAACTCATGCAAATTCCGAACTTGGCATCTAACGAAATCCCAACCCTAGCGCTAGCATTAACACCAACCCTAAACTGAACAAGAATGCTAATAACGGCGGATTGGCGCTCATAAAAGCCGTTACCTATTTGTAATGAAGAGAACGAATACGGGTGCGAATATATACAAAGTATAAGGAGTTTGGCAGCTTTGAATAATTCATCTGACGCAGTTACTTTACTCTGAACTGCCAGGCGTTTCACCTGCGTCAGACTCGTGCCAAACATCATTCTTTTTAGGATGTTCAGTTATTTTCAGAAGGTAGGGCACCATCTACCCTCTATTTCAGATTCTGGCAGAGCACTGTGGTCAGTTTCTCATTACCTGCTCATCACAGGTAATTCACGACGACACACCAAAAGTTTCATCGTTTTAACTACCTCCAACACCGATTTCTAGAGTTCCACAGTCCGCAGTTGTGGGGACTGCACGCTATGTCCGACAGTCGTGTGCGACAATGTTACCCGTGACGCTGACAGCGTTGTGGGCGCCGGATTATCGTAACGGTGGACTTGCACAGAATTTTTCGTACTTCCTTCACCATCGCCTTCCTGGAGCCGGCGACATGACAGAGGCGGGCTCGTACGCAGTTGACGATGACAAAGCTAGGCAGTCTGCCTACGCGTGTCATACAGGATCTGGTCACCTGCACAATAGGTGCCAGGTTTTTACAGAAACAGGAGGGCGGGACGGCTTCGAGGTCACGTTACCCAATAGCATAAAGGCCACAGTAAGGATGAGCCATTGGACTTAACTCCCAATCAGTCAGCCAATCAGCCCACATACGTATGTAGTACTGACTACATTGACCGATTTACCAAATTTGTTAACAGCCTTCTAAGCTACGACTTTTAGTTGTTCAAGCACGGCAAATTGATTATAGTGAAAGTGTGAGTTGGCCTCATACTATATTCGTCTCCAACACAACGTCGTCTTGTATGGTTGTGATCATGTGCGACCTAACTGGAGTCAATGATATCGTTGCATATGCATCCCCATACTAAAGATCCACGGAGGCGGATCGACAGAGGTATATCCCCACACGTCCGACGACATAAGGTCAAAGAATCATATTCGCATGTGAATGAACTGTTTTGACCTAGGTTAGGACTCAACGATGTTTGGTTAAGTAATATGTATGACTCCACCAAATCGTTGGGACGGTTGACGAAGAACGTGCCCACAATATCACATCAGTATTGGTTGGGTTTCCTTGTGATGTCGCGAGTGATCTCTTATACGAGACATATCGAGGGGTATTTAAGTCTAATATGGTTTAACTCTAACGGCTTTGATCTTCCAGGCCTTAGGAGAGAAGAAAAGTTTTGGGAAGGTCAGAATAGTAGGAAGAATATATTCTTTCCA